GAGATGGCTTTGTCAAAATTCAAAATCCTGACCCCAACCTCAGATTTGTGATTCCTGCAGAATGAAGGAGAGACCAGGAACACCTGGGTATGTGAGAGCCCTGCCAGCCAGCTATGGTTTGGAGAACACTGTCTTAGCGCCATCTGGGTCATAGGAGCATAGACCAGGGTCCACTCAGCCCCTTTGTACTATCCTTGGGCATGAAAATTTGGGATGTTAAAACTGCCTCTGTACTTGCCTGGAATGTAGCAGGTACCTCCTATTCACTCAGTACTCGATTTCAGTTGCAATCTAGTCTAGATTGCTAATTTGTCTGCTCTATGTAGTTCCGCCCCAGTATTTTGTACTCCAGAGCAAAGGTGTTTGTAATATAAACAGTTGATTCCTTGGTTGGGTGTTGAATGGATATGCAAGAGGAGCAAGAGGAAGCTATCCTTCCCACTTTGGAATCTGACGATGGAAAAGATGCTCATTCTTTTGAGTAGAGTAGGGTGGACACGGAGAGCAGCATTGTGGGGGGCACTTCTGACCCCTCCTCTTATTTGCATCTTCCACTACCTCAGGGACTGTCCTTTCTTCTTGGGGCTCGGTTGCCCAACTTAAGACACAGTTGGTAAGTTCCATCATTTCTGAGCTCCTTCCCAGCTCTAACACTCAGCCTCCTTTTTTCCAATACTCTGTAAACTGGATAGAGGAACAACCGCACAAAGAAACAGAACTTCATTCACACTTGAATCTAATGATTTTCCTTTTCCCTTTTATGACCTGAAGTCTGTCATTTGAGTTTATGGGATGCAAACACCCTCCATGGTCTACAGAAAGAAAAACCTCAGAAGAAGGATTTTTGCTGAAACAGGGAATTGTTGAGGCTGTTTTGAACAGTGAGGTCAAATTCTTTGGTCTCTGTGTCCCTCATAATTTTGTTTTCCCTGTCTCCCCATGTAAATGAAAGCTCTGTAGATCTTACTGATTCTTCCTAAGATAACAACTGATGACAGGATAGTGAGACAGGAAAATCTGGTAAAAATAGCATGTTGGCCCCCTAATAATAAAAATTCACATACCTCTGGCTTCTCACAGTCCATAAAATTAGCACCCACAGTGCTTCCTTTGTGGGAAGCTTTTGATGTCCTTCAATTTGGCTTGGTGTGATTCAGAGAAGAAATGCTGTGTTTAAAGATGAAAACAGCTCAGTGCCTATGTCTGTCTCATTATAAATCTCTCCGTCAGTCTCACACGTCCACAAAGTGGTTTGCCTTTTGAGTCTGAACAAATGAAGTAACAGTCAAGGTACAGCTTCCAAGTGCTGACGGCAAAAGCCTGCAATCCCCATCCAGGTCTCCTGTTTTCTGAAGTCTGCCCCTGTCCTTGGCAACCAGCAGTCAGTAATGGTCTCTCAGTTCTAAAGTGAAAATCAGGGCCAATTCCAAGCATTGCCACCAGAACGTCCCGCAAACAGACCATGGTGGAGGGAATGAGTGGGTGTCTGGACCTCGCTATTCTAATGTGCTTACTAGTGAACTTTAGGTGGATTTGGAGACAAAGTGCATTGCTCCGGAAGGTAGAGCATGTGAGCAGAGTGCTATCTGTTTGTCCAATAATTCTGGCTATATCGACACCATTCACTTGCACATTTGGTTACCAAGATCATTGGCAGAGCTAGTTTTCTGCCTCTGTACTTGCCTGGAATGTAGCAGGTACCATTTGACGCTGATGAAATGTCCTTTGACACAGACCAATAATGCATTCCAAATCAGCAGATAGGGAAGGCAGGTGAAGGGCCTCTGGCCATCTGCCAGATGGGCTCATAAAAGCAGTTTCTCTCCTTGCTCATCCTCCCACGTTCTCTGACCTCCACTGCTGTGCTGTCAGCTTACAGTTCTGCCAGGCCCTCTTTAAGTTAACTTACTGTTTTCCAATGGAAAAAGCAGACTTTCAAACTAGCATCTGTTTATTGTTGGATCAGCATTGTTATCTTTAAAACATTTCATGTAGAAGAAAAGTGTGGTAGAAATAGAGAACAATCGATGCTGTCTTGAAAATTCAAAGAGAATAAGCAGAAAAATAAAACAACTGAAACTGAATTCTACAATGAAATTAGCAGTTACTTGCTTTCTGAGTGACTCCCTGATGTGAGTCTGTGACACCCCTGGCTGGCTCAGCCGGCAGAAGAGCGGACACTGGTCCATGCCAAGAGGGTTGGCCTCTGAATCGGAGGGTGGTTACAGCATGTGGCTGTCTGGGTGGTGCTTCATGACAAGGTATCTTACTAAAGCCAAACACTCTGGTTGGAAATTTGCATTTTTTAAAGGAAACTGTAAATAACCAAAACCAAAATGTTAGTATTATTTTAATGTAGAGGGGAAAGTCATTTTATTTAGAAATGACTAATGCTTGTGACAAATAGTGATATTGAATCTTGAACTAGTGGTGCCAGGAAACCCTGCCTCAAATGTTGAGTGACAGCGGTCAAGTCCATCACCTCTTCCAGCAGCCCTCTCTAAAAGTGCACCCGACAAGGGCTATCCTGGGCCAGGGAAGCACAGACGATGGCTGGATGGCTGAGTCTTCTTGATCTGGGTAATTCCAGCTGCCTGCTTTGTTCTAGCTGGCAGGCAGACAGGAAGAACAGAACAAAGTGGGGCAAGTGGGGCCTCTGGTTCGCTACTGAACACACCTGGCATCTGCTCTTGGAACCCTCAGAAAGCATGGGAGTTTGTGTGGATGTTGACTCTATCATGAGCTGAAATTAAGACCTTTCCCCAGAGCTCTGCCTGTGAAAGGAAACAGACACTTGGCGTTTCCATATGCTCTGCGAACGATCTTGGTTCAGGAGGGGTTCTTAATGACGGGCAGTTAACAGAAGGGCAGAGAATGGATAGACCCAGTTGGAACAGCTTAAGATGATGGAGACAGAGGACTTAACGAGGGGGTGAGAAAAGCCTGAGCGCAGCCAAGACGGCTTTGCAGCCCCTGTGTGGACACAGCAATTAGAATTTACAGGTCTGCAGGGCTGAGAGAGCAAACACAAGAAATGGGAGAAAACATAAAAGCAACGGGAAGCAACTGAGAAGCTCCAAAGGCAGAAGCATCACAGCCAAGAGGCTGAAAACCTAAGTTTCCTAGCAAGGAAGGAGGCATAATTTACATGATTTAACATGAAATAAAAGACAGTCATTTTATTGACCCTAAAAAATGGAAGCATTTCCACAGTTGAAATGGAACAATTCCTATAAGTCCAACATTGTTTGTTTTTTATGAGAATAAGACATTGTATTATAGGGATTTTTTGTAATTGTCTTAGACACATAATAGAATTTCTTCAGGAGCAACCTTGGTATAAAATAGTTCAAGACTTCTACAAATGAAAGTAAGTAAAAATGTCATGGCACAACTCAGCCTAAAGGTGCAAGGGACCCGGCAGGGCTGCCGCATAGCTGGGGGGGAGGTCACTTCTGCTTCCCATCCAGGAAGTGTCACCATCTTTCCTCCCCTTCCACCACTGACTTGTCCTGAGAACTTTCACAAGAGCCAAAAAACTGGCTCTGAAAATGGGGCCCATTTGAGAACTTGAGGAATGGCTCCGCCATTCTGCTCTTGGCAGAACAGCACACGTGGAGCTGGCACAGCCTTGGTGGTCAGGGCGCTCCTGTAACATGGACCCTGATCCTTCTGCCTGATTCCTTTTTTAGAAATCATATACCGTGGTCCATACGTGAAATCAGAGACTCTGAAAATGTTTACAAAAGCTTTGTAGTATAGGAAAAATGCTTGTTCTAGATATTGAATTGTCAAAATGCTGAATGTAAAGGTTGTATATACTGTGTGTCCTCAATCATGTTACAAAGTAGAGAGAGAGAGAGAGCATGAACCGGAAGTGAATGTGCAGGACTAAGTGCAATGGTTATCTCTGTGTGTTTCTATCTTTCTCTTGATTGTTTTCTCTGTATAATTCGGGTTCCCACACTTCAGTCCTCACAAAATGTCTCCCAATGGTATGAGTGTCTCTGACCAAGTGTTCCAGCTGCTGCTTTGGGTCCTCAGCCCTAGTGTGACTTTGGGGGGAGAGGATGCAGAGTCATGAAGCCCAAGGATGAATGGGGACATCGTCACAAATCCTCCATTTTACCTCAAGACTCAGGAGAAAATCACTGTTATATTAATTCTTCCTCAGAAATGCTGAAGAACTGCAAAGTGGAGGCTTCATTTGGAATCTGATTCAAACACGAAGATTAAATTAAACTATGACATTTATGACACAATTGGGATTGGAACTCTGAATATATAGTGATATAAGATCGTTGTCAATTTTTTAGATGTAATAGTTTTGTGGTTATATTAAAAAACAAAGAATCTGTATCTTTTCGAGATGCATACTGAAGTATTTACAGGTTGGAATTTGCTTCAAAATGCTATGGGGGTAGAGCATAAGTTGATAATTGTTGAAGTTGGGTGAATGGGACACAGAGGGCCTTTACTTTTGTATGTTTAAAATTTTCCATTTTTTAAAAAGGAGCTAGAGCAGTGGTTCTCAACCTTCTGGCCCTTTAAATATAGTTCCTCATGTTGTGACCCAACCATAAAATTATTTTCGTTGCTACTTCATAACTGTAATGTTGCTACTGTTATGAATCGTAATGTAAATATCTGATATGCAGTATGGTCTTAGGCGACCCCTGTGAAAGGTCTTTCGACCGCCAAAGGGGTCGCGACCCACAGGTTGAGAACCACTGAGCTAGAGGGAAAACAGAAAAATTGTGTTAAAGAAAGTTATTTCCCAGTACAGGTGACCTTGAAAGCCAGGGCAGGGGGAAGAATGACAATCAGGAAAGCTAATCAGAAAGTGAGAAGCATCTGTGATCAGGGTGACCTCTAAAAATAACTCTGCACATGTAGACTGTAGGTGAGCAATAATGTCAGTGGCTTCCTGGACAGACATGCCCTCCCCTCAGGAAGAGGTGGCACTGTCCCTCACTATAGGTCTCTCTGTCCCTTCCCAGTTGGTCCGTGGGGAACTGGAGTACCTGCAGCAGGACGTGTGGTGGAGGGACACAGAGCCGAGTGGTCCAGTGCACGCAACGAGCCCATTACAGAGCAGAGCGGGTCTCGGCCAGCCTGTGCCCACAGCCTGTCCCTGCCAGCCGACAGGCCTGCCGCCCCCAGAGCTGCCCGCCCACTTGGAGTGCTGGGCCCTGGGCAGAGGTACCTTGGGCAGGGTTGATATGGGGGTGGTGGCAGCAGGGCCCCTCTTATGCAACACAGAGCTGGGTTTTCACCAGGCCTTGCAGGACCTGTGGCCTAAGCCCCCCCCCTCCCCACCCCCCCAGCAAGGTCTGAGCATTCCTTGCTGGGATCTGAGGCTTACTCTCCCTATGCAGTGCTCTCAAACCTGCGGGAAGGGATGGAGGAAGAGGACCGTGGCCTGTAAGAGCACCAACCCCTCAGCCAGAGCACAGCTGCTGCCTGACGCCCTCTGCAGCTCAGAGCCCAAGCCCAGGACTCACGAAGCCTGTCCACTTAAGCGCTGCTACAAGCACAAGAAGCTGCAGTGGCTTGTGTCTGCCTGGTCCCAGGTAGGTGCGCCTGGTCTCAGATAGATGCACCTGGTCCAGACAGAAGAAGGTTGACCAACTCTCCCCTTGGGGCCATATTTCTTCATCTGGTTTCACTGCTTCCCTCTCCTCCCCCCTTCCCTCTCCTCCCCCCTGCTCCAACTCTGCACCCCCATTCAGGCCACCATCTGGGCTTCAGCCAACATTAAGGGACTCCATTCCTAGACATGTCCTTTAGTTTCCGTGGGTGTTGTGGAAACACAGACAGACAGACCGAGTATAATTTGTGGGCATCCAGGTGGGCAGTCCTCCTCCTGAATATTTAACAGTGTCCTTAAGCAGTGCATCCACAAGGTCATCACACAGTTGGTGCTAAGATGAGGATGAGTGGGTGAATGGGGTACAAGTGAGAGAGTAGGGGACATTCATCATGCTCACAGTGAGGTCATGGGGACCCACTTAACCCCAGAACAGCTGCAGCCATTTCCCAGGAAAGGCTTACACAACACAGAGCCAGAGGAGAGTGGGTTACCGTGGGAAAGTTAGAGGACCCGGACTGTTTTCAGAGACCAGTGTCCATGGGCAGTTCTTATATCAGAGAAGACACTGCTTGTGTTGGGTTTGCTGGAATCAAAGCCTTGTGCTGCTGAAGTCCAGAAGCCCCCTTATTTGCATTATTTGGGGACTGTCCTGGCCCTACTATGCTGGGGCTAACAGAAGTTTGGAGTGCTGAAGGCTTTATGACTAGCTTTGGCCCAATTGAGGGCTGGGACAGCCTGTGAGGGCGCAGACAGAGCTGCTGCCTCTGCCCAGCACAGCCTCCCACACTAGGGAGAGTGCATTGGGACAGGTGTGGGGGCTGCCTGAGGGGCATGCCAGGGCTCCTTAATCGTGCTGTGGTGTGTGTCAACTCAGAGGTGGTGTCAATAAACCCCGGAAGGACACCAGAAAGCTAACATGGGCAGAATGACAGTAGCACCCCACCACGTGGAAACCCGTGGGAACGGGCATTGAGAGACCTCCTCCTTAATCCCAGAGCTGTCTGTCTGCATTTCCACAGCACCTGTGAAAGGAAAGCCCCTAGATCCTGACCCCAAGTGCCTCTGGGACAGACAGAGTCTCCTCCTAGCCCACACCTGGACTGATGCCTTCATCAGGGTGGGGCATGAATCAATAAAAGGGTGGCTGTGCCAACCAGGGCTTTTAATCCCATTCAGACACTGTTTCAGTTTGCTACTGAAAAGTAAAAACACGGTCATTCACTGAAGCAAATGCCATGGTTAAGGGAGAACTCCGATTCTCTCACCTGGGACACAAGAATGTCGGCATCTCCTGGGACTGAGCCATACTCCTTAGGAGGCTGAGTGCATTGGAGGGAAGTGACTGGGGCTGTATAATCTGTGGGTGTCCAGGTGGGTAGTCCTCCCCCTGAACATTTAACACACACACACACATACAGAGAGAGAGAGAGAGAGAGGGGAGGGGGGGGCAGTGCCTCTCTTCGGCATAGCCACAGGAGGCAACTGAGTAGTCTCCAAGTTCTGCCTCCATTTTGGCATCAGGACACCCACAAAGCACACCTGTAAGCCACACCTGAACTCAAAGAGTGTGAAGCCAGAACCTAGACAGGTAAGGCCAACCAGGCTCCTCGTATGCAACCTGCAGACACTGCAGAGTAGATGGAATCACCCAGAAGGCTCAGCATCACCCACTCCTCTACCGCAGGCCAGCAACTTCAGACTCTGGGATCACTCTCCCGAGACCCTCCGAGCCCGGCCAGCCCTCTGGTACAACAGTGTGCCTTGGGCTTTTGTGTCCTCCCTGCACAACCTGCAGTTGCTGCCTCTGCCTAGCCCGCTGGTTTGCCCAGGACCCATTCTGCACGTGCCAAGTATCCCACAGCAGTGACAGCTCAGGCTTGGAACACCCCTCCATGGGGAACAAGTGGACTTGCTCCTGTGCACTTGCTGTCTTCATGGGGAGCACTGGGCTTTCTGGGGAAAATTTTTGAGCCCTGGGTTTCTTCTGCCTGCCCCTGCTTTAGGGTCCAGCTTCACACTGCAGTCAGTGTTAACCCATGGATCTCTGTGGTTCACCTCATGTCCTGTGAATTAAATTTCAGTGCACTCTAATATCAGTTACAGCTCAACATTTTGATTTCCCAGTGAAATGATTACTTCAGAATTACTCCTTCCATAGTTTTGATTGCCTTGCTCCTACTTATGCCCCCAAACTCTAGGCCACTGTGGTCTTAAGATATTCCTTAAAAAAAATAAAAAGTTTCTTGATTTTTAGAGAGAGAGGAAAGGAGAAGAGAGAAACATCAATGTGAGAGGGATACATCAATTGATTGCCTCCTGCTCACCCCCTACCCGTTACTGAGCCTACAACCTAGGCATGTGCCCTGACTGGGAATCGAACCAATGACTTTTCGTTGCTCAGGTCAATGCCCCACCAACTGAGCCACACTGGCCAGAGCCCACCTTTTTTAGTGATAGAATCAGTAATGCCTTTGAAATGCCAATAAAGTTCATTGAATGTTTACACTCCTGTAAAACTTCAAGCTGATATAATCAGGAGATGGTTTGACTCAATTATTTTGTAAGAGACAGCCGCCACAGAAGAAATATTTTTCATTCACATCTTTTGTTTACTTTTATTTTTAGTGCTCTGTTACATGTGAAAGGGGAACACAGAAACGATTCTTAAGATGTGCTGAAAAGTACATTTCTGGGAAGTACCGGGAGCTGACCTCAAAGAAGTGCTTGCATTTGCCGCAGCCTGACCTGGAGCTGGAACGTGCCTGCGCCCAGTTCCCCTGCCCCAAGCACCCCTTGTTTGCTGCCACAGGCCCCCCGCGGGCCACCTGGTTTGCCTCGCCCTGGTCTCAGGTAGGGGCCCTGCTTCCCACCTTGGCAGCTGGCTCAGGCGGGGCGTTTCTCAGAGGGTATCAAAGCCTACTAAGCAGCTCCTGACCTTCTCTCCATGGTGTGTGCAGGTGCCTGTGTTTCTTGGTGCCTGTGGCTTTCTGAAGAGGGTGCTCTACAAAAGCTGCAGAATCTTTTAGGGCACGTGTTCTTTGTTCTTAACAGTCACCCAATTAAGCATTGGAAAATGTCATGTTTTGGGTAAACGGTAGGCAGAATTCCCAGAGGTGAGTGAATGAGGAAGAAATTGGGAATGAGTAGGTGGTTGTGAGATTATACTAGGTTTATTACAAATTAAGTGAGAATAGGGGTCAAGACAGCCTGGAATGTTGTGTCCTGCCTGGGACTTCAGACTCGGGCAGCCCAGACCCAGAGAGGTACGCAGGGTGCTCTTGGGGCCTTTGGTATGCCCAGCTCCTTGCCCCTACCACACTCCCTTCACATCTAAGGAGAATTCTGCTATTATTCTTGTTAACTCACCCTCCTTCCTCAACCTGTTTTCTGCCTAGGGCTCCTGGCAGCCCTCACACTGCTGAGCTCTGTCCCTTTTCTGCCTGTAGTTCTGCTCCTCTGCCCTTAGTTTTGGATTCCTCCATGTCCCATGGCCACGCCCTCACTCCTCTGGCTCCTGCTGCTATTTCTGTCTCAGCTCTGTGGAGTTGACCCTCACCAGTGGGGTTCCAGGGGCTGACCCTGCCTAACCCATCCCAGCTGGCCAAACCTGGGGCACCTGCACTACTTGCTTCTTCCCAGGAGGGGGCGCTTTGCTTTTTTTCAGTCACTGCAGGGAGGGGAAGGGAACATATTTTTGTCTTTCTAATCTGTTGACCAGTGGGCCAGCCTTCTTTGCAGAGTGGAGGGCCCATCTCTGACTTTGTCCTTTCCAAAGAGATGAAGGTGGAGGAAGAGTGATGTAGTGTGCAGTGGTGACCAGCCTGTGTGTGCCCCTGTGCCAGACCCATCTTGTAGAGGGTCCTCAAAATCATAGTCTCACACCCTGGGAGCACTCTTGGATTCTCTGCTGAGAGCCTCAGTGCCATGGGCAGCAATAAAGGCAGTAACAAGGACGAACACCTGCTCGGAGCCATGCTCCTCCCACCGCTGGCACTGTGCTAGGCATTGTGGGACTCCGAACTCATTTGTCTCTCCCAGCGGCACTATGAGGGAGGTAACACTATCACCCCCATTTTACAGACGAACAAATTGAGGCATAGAGACTCTGGTCAATTTCAGCTCACAGTCACCATGTACCTCTCCATGGTCCTGACAGCTCAGCTTGGTCCCGGAGACACCTACTCTATCTCACCTCCACTCTGGGCAGCAGAACACAGACCTGGTCAGAACCCATGGTCCTCATGGGCACATGGCAGAATGTAGGCTTTTAAAAGGCAAATGATGTCATGCATGACCACAAACTTGTGGTTTTCCACCTTATAATCACCTTGGTCCTTGACCAGGATGTCAGAACCCTATCATGTAACATTTCCACCAACACATCCAAGTTCAAATCCTAAATTTATCAGAAGCACAGGAGTGTTGCACCACCAAATTGTCACAACACATGTATGTACTCAGGGCCCCCAAGCTGGGCCTTCGATGACTCTAGCAGCTGATCCCAAATAGCACTGGGCTGGTGTCTGTCTTTTGTCACTTCCAAAGGAACTTCCACGGGTCTTTGTCTTTCTCCAAAAATATTTCTCAGAATATCTACTCAATGCCTGGTGCCATAGAAACGACCCAGCTGGCAGCGTTATCACAGCTTTCCCTGCCCCCACAGTTGTTCTTGCCTGAACAGTGTCTGCTTGTCCTATCTGCCCATTTGCCCACTCACTCACTCATCATGCCAAACTCTCCCTGAGAGCCTGCACTGGACACTGAATGGGGATGGCTGTGAGCTCTTAGCATAACTCATCCATCCCACTATTAGTTGGGGTAACATCCAGGTAATGTGCCCTACACCCCAAGTTCACCGAGGGGAAAGCTCTGGGGTCCTGTACGGGAAGGAAACATGGAGAGAAAGTAGACTCTGGAGGGGAGACCCCTCTCGTGGTGAATCATGCTCTGTCCACCCTCCAGCCCAGTGACCGGCAGAGATCAAGGCTGCCCACTTGAACATGAGCTGCTAGAAAACAGATATGGTCACAAAGCAACCATTAAGAGTGATGTTTGCCCAGAGATAGCTTTGTAACCGATGTTATACTAAGTGTTTTATATGTGCATTTTATACAATTGTATGTGTGTATATACATTCATACATTATATGTATGCATGTATAGAAGCTCTCTCTTTCTCTCTCTCTCTCTCTCTCTCTCTCTCTCTCTCTCTCTCTCTCTCTCTCTTTCTCTCCATATATATATATATCTTGGACCTACCAGGGCACCTAGCCCATACTAAGTATTTGGGGGGAATGTTTGCTGAATGTAAGAATTTTAAAGAAAAAACAAATTCAATGAGTGAGTCAGGGCAGCCACTTCTCATCCTTATTTAAAGATCTTTCTCTCCCAGCACAGTCAAACCACATACTTTTCTCAGGGTTTTTGTTTACATTGTCCATTGACATTGTGTGCTCTATTGAGAGACCCATGTGTAGGGGTATAATCTTTAAAATCCAAAGACAATGCTCGCTTGCCAACCACCTATTTCCCCCTGCTTCTATGACTAGATTTAAAACAAACAACCATCTCACATGGCTGGTGTATGACAGGCGCGAGCGCGTGTGTGTGTGTGTGTGTGTGTGTGTGTGTGTGTGTGTAGAGAGAGAGAGAGAGAGAGAGAGAGAGAGAATGTGGCCAGACAAGTTCATTAAGAATTATCTGTGGTTTACTTCAGAGTCACACTTCTGTGTCCCCATCCCCACAGAAACCAGTAACTAAGTTTGATTTGTGTAAAAATTTTGTTAAGGATTGAGAATTCCTGCTATTGATTTGAGTGGGAAACTCAAATGAACAAATGTGACAGAGCAAAAATCACACATAATTATTGTCTTTAAGTCCAAAAGAAATATTTATCAGAACCAATTTAATCTATCATAGAATCTATTTTAATATTATCTAAATTTTTACTAGAATAAAATCAGTTCAAAACCCCCTCTAAATGATGTCCCCCTCCCAGCCATTGTGTCAGAGCTCTGGCTGTGTCTCTATGAGCCCAGATTTGACTATTTATCAGCCAGCTTCTTACAAAATCGTAATATCCCAGCCTGGCCACTGCCCCTCCTCTGCTTCCTCGGCCATAACTCCTGGCCCCAGGCTCTGAGTTCTGCAGAAGCAACCATTCCCTCAGTCCTTGGGGAGGAAGAGGTACACCTTCCATAGACCTTTCATACTGACCTTGGCTTATGTTCCAGCTCCACTGTGGTTCTCGTTGTCTTCAAACTTGATAGATTTTTCATTTAGAAATGTATGAACTCCTCTCCAAAAGATATCCAAATTAGAAATAGTTTAATTTAAATTATTGGGGCAAGGGACATTTGAAGTGTACTATTTTTAAGTATTCCCTGCTTTAAATCCACAAAAAAGTATCAATAACTACAAACGTTTCCCTTTAATTTTCTTCTGAGTGCACAGTCTGTCCAACAAGATGAAGCAGTAGATGGACTAAGGAGTGGAATTGAGTTGTTCCTTTTTTTAATTTTTTATTTATTGTCTAAAGTTGTACATATGTCTTGAGTTGTTTCTTGGGCAGGTGTATGCTTACTCTGTCCCTAGAGAATTGTGAGTGGAGACAAATAGAGGTGTTTCCCCAAGATTGTTGTCTCTCTGTTAGTAGGGAAACTGGATCCTGAAACAGGTTCCCCACCCTTTACCTGGCAGGCCACTCTGCTCAATTTGGAGACTTATAGGCAAATTTACAAAGAGGGGAGCAACAGTCATTAGTATTTAATTTAAACCGAAACAAAAAGGCTAAAACATGTCTGTAATAGCTTTTACCAGTCTGAAATACTCAGCCTGTTTGTCTAATAAGTCACTTTTATCATATCCTGCCTAGCATTTATCCAATGTGATTCATCTGTTATCTTCTGAGATTTTAACTTCTTGGGAGTGATAACTCTTACGGCTGTGTTTGCCATAAGCCCTTGTAGCCAGAACTCTGGGACTCAGACTGTGGGAAATTGTCAGGCTGTGATGTATGGCCAGTGCCTGGCTGAACTTTGCCCCCAGACAGGTTTATTCTTATAACAGTATAAAGATTGTGGTTCTATTGATTTCTGTTTATTTAAATGGCTTTGCTTTTCATCAAACTTAATGGCTTGTCGCCTGGCAGGACTGATTTAAATTATTTGGGTCATTTGGGCTTAGGGTGGTTCACATTCTAATTTGGTCTGGGAATGGCTTCAGTGGGAACACCTGTTGGACTGTCTGTCTGGCTGAAGGACGACAGTGACTGCTAAGGCCACACACAAAAGTTTCAGGCCTTTGAAGGGATGACTTGTTAAAACATCTGACAAATATGGACTCTATGGACCACTGTTCTTAAATTTAGATATAACTGAAGTCAGTCCGGAAAAGAGAATGGCTGATGCAATTCTGTCATCTCGAGCAGTGGCCGGACCTAGATAGAGCACCTGCAGCATCTTGGTTAGATATGCAGTGTCAACCGGTGACTATTGGTGTCCATTCAATACCCACGTGAATCCGCAATTTGGAGTGCAGAGAAGAAGGAAACTCTATTCAGTGCAAACAGCTCAGTTGTGATACAGTCTAGAGTTTGAGTTGCTTTCTTTTGGACAGATGGATTGCCGCAGTTTGGGGTTCCCCTGTCTTTCTGAGCAACCCTCTCCTGATTTCTTGCCTGCAGTAGATCTCAGATGACCCTGTCATATATTCTGTGTGTGTGCATCCAGCCAGCTAGTGGAAGATGCTCTAGTCATGCCATTGCATTCTCTAGCTCTGCTGTGCCATATACACCTTAAGGAACAGGGCCTCGGTGTCAAAGAACATTGCCCTTGGGAGGATGTAAATGCCATCACAAAATGAACCCAGGAAGCTGGTGTTGCCACTTCCAGGCATCCAGAGTCTGTGAACTTGGGGTGGAGAAGGGTCTTAGTGTTATCAAGCCTCTGTGGGAGTTGGCTTCTCGAGAGTACCAGAAAGATGGCTTTGTGGTGGCATCCATAAAGGGCACTGATTCCTTCATGCCAGACCCATAGCCTGGATAGGTTCAGGGAAAGATGCTGTATCCCCAGATGTGTACCAGTTTCCTGTGTCCATCAGCCCATGGATGACTTAAGAACATTATAACTTCTGGGCACTTCTCCTCTCTGTCCATACCTGAGATTAATCCAAAATCTAGTCAGCCACCCACCATCATAGAGAGAGAGACACCTTGAGGAGTCTGGGTGGAGGGGGATGCTTGGAAGAGGAGAGCACCCTGAGAACTGAGCAGCCCTGGATGACTGACATGCATGTGTTTCTCACAGTGCACAGCTAGCTGTGGGGGTGGCGTGCAGACCAGGTCCGTGCAGTGCCTGGCAGGGGGCCGGCCAGCCGTGGGCTGCTTCATTCACCAGAAGCCCGAAGCCTCCCTGGCCTGCAACACTCACTTCTGCCCCATCGCAAAGAAGAAAGGTGAGTGCTGGGAGCCCCTAGGCTTGACCTTGGCATGTTGGAGGGGGCTGTCAAGTTTCTGGAGCCATTCCTTAGAGATCCTGAGGAAGTTGGGGTGCCACTGGTTAGAGAGCCCTAGAGTTCAGTTCTTGTCTCTGATACACCTTTTCTCTTTTCATCCACTCGCCAGTTTTCCCATGAAACAGTCCTCATTTCTCACACCTCCCTAGACATGACATCTATGGTGGTTAATTTTAAGTGTAGCTTTAAGAAAGCATGATGTCTTTTCCTATATCAGTGCTATCCTCCTTATTCTTCAGGGACAAGTTACACAAAGGCCACCTTCTTCATCTTAAACTCCATCTCTGTGCACAGAGCCTCCAATGCCTTTGCAGAGATCAACAGTCTGTCTCTGGAGGCTTCTCAGAGAGGAAATGGAGCTGGGGAGAGCAAGTGGGTTAGCTCGATCAGAAAATTAATGGTTGAACTCCATCCACAGAGTGCCTGTGTCTCGGGTGGATGAGTGGTTGAGTGGGTGGGATTAACACAAAAAGAAGAAAGTTCAGTTTTGCTTGGACCTTCTAAGAAGGGCCTTATAAAAAGAGCAGGTTACACGTGGCCCAATTTGACCTGAAGAGCTGCTATCCCTCAGCAGCTTCAAGACAATGACAAATTCACCTTGATTTGCCAGCGGAGTTACTAGCTTTTAGCAGTGGACATGGCGTGGGGACATGGACTAAGGGGCGTTTGCTCGTTTCTAGATGCCGTCTGCAGAGACCACCTGCACTGGTGCTCCCTGGTGCCCCAGCACGGGATGTGCAGCCACCAGTTCTACGGCCAGCAGTGCTGCGAGACTTGCTCCAAATCCAACCTGTGAGGGTGGGGCCCCCTCCCAGGGCCAGGGAAATGTCTGTTTTCAGCACCAACGAACTGTCCAGTTCACATGGGAAAGCATCCAAAGAAGATGGAAACTGGAAGAAAAACTGTTAGCTGTTAGGCTCTTTGTGCACCAGCGTGCACATGTGGGGGTGTGTGGGGTCACCTGTGCACACACAAGCATATAGAGTCATGCTGGGTTGACACCTGGAGGAGGCAGCAGGGCTTGCTCTGCCGAACGGGAGCAGTGCTCCCTGCATGTGTATTTCAGCTAAATCAAGTCTGAAAGACAGTGGAGCTGAACTTGCTAAATGCTAATAAATGTTTGGTGCTTTGTAAAAAGAAGAAAGGCCACGAAATTAGGAACAAGTACAAAATTCTGCTGCTAAGTGTGCCGGCCTTCCTCCCACCTCGGGGTCCCCTCCAGAGGTTAGGAGTAACCAGCTTCTGACCAGGACAAGCAGGCGGCCTGGACAGATCCTGGCTGTGTTCCCAGGGCCCCGCTTCATGCCCTAGCAACAGAGTTTCTCTTTGCAAGGACTTGGTGCTGTGACAAGAGCTGGTATTGTCTCTAAGGGGCACCTGCCTGCCCCGAGAGGTGGGACTCAGTCCTGCTTTCAGAGTTTGCCTCTGGAAACAGGAAAAATGAAATTCCTGCTAAGGTGCTGTATCTCTTACAGACTCGGGTGCTGGGGGAGAGGATTTTATATCTTAGGTTTTCTCTTTCGCAGTTATTTACAAGTGAGTGTCTCTATTTAAACTGTTTCTTAGTGCTTTTCGTTTTTAGATGACAGAATTACAGGTAATACCATGATTAGCGAATTGTTGGCTGCACCACAACCCTGCTGTCCTAGGAAGAGGTGTGGGTGGTTCTTCTCCAATGGATATGCCAACACGATAACCTTAGAAATCAGGTTTCATTTTTGTGCGTTGTGGGTTTTTAAACTGTTTTTCCATGAATGTTGGCTGTGTTTGTGAGGCCCATTCAGAGAGAAGGCACTAATTTCTCGGTGGGAAGCTGCCCCGCAGGCCCCAGCATCATCTGTCAGTGCGGGTGCTGCTGTCATTCTCCCTTCCCGCCACGCAGCTGTGTTCAGAATGGGCATCTGGATATTTATATTTGCTGAAGTTTTATAATAAATTTTATATTGTACAGTGTGATTCTGACTGCTCACGATTCTTCACAAGAGATTAAGTTTAAGGAATTAGCTCACATGATTAAGGGGGCTGACATGTCCCATATCTGTAAGGCAGGTGGCAGTCTGTGCACCGACCATGGGCTGGGTGAGGTCACCTCCTCCAGCTGCTCGCTGCCCTGGAGCTCCGGGAGTGGCTCACAGGCATGTGGCCCAGGCAGTGCCTGGAGTTGCCTGCTCCCAAGTCCAGAGCCCTGCTCTGCCCACTCCCAGTGCTCCAGAAATATCTGGCTAGTGGGCAGTCTCTTTCCATCTGGCTCCATATGGGAGCCCAGAAAAGCTCATGGCTGGTTCAGTGAAACCAGAAAGGCCAGGGTGTAGTTGACTTTACCGCCTAGTGTCCCTGCTTCCACAGGGAGGCCCCATATGACAGACAGCAGCAGTGGGGTGTATATGGCACTTAACCAGGAAGGGAATGAACCATCCAGAACAACAACACCATCCACCACACCTACCATGTGCCAGGCACTGTGCTTGCTTCTGTTCCAAACTAAACAAGGCCCCTTCCCTTCGGTCTGACTGTCTTTATACCATCTACCTGTGTGACCTTGGGCAAGTCACTTTACCTCTCTGGTTTTTGGATTTATCATCTATAAAATAATTAGATCTTTCAAGCTTCACCAAAATTCTAAGATGCTACCTTTTCAATTGACTTGCTATTGTTAAACTAATACTTTCCTGGAAGTCATGAATCAACCCTGAGAACGGATTTAGCTAGGCAGAGAATGTGCTCCTGCTCTGCATTAGAAGCCAGACAAAGAAACCTGCTCTTTAGGTTTTAGGGATGACTTTGGCCTATTGAAATCCTTACACCTACACTCATATACTCAGACTCCAGGTGGTGGCAGAGCAGAACCCGCCTATAATTTTCCAAGAGGCCAGGTGGGTAGATTCCAGGCCAGGCTGTCTGGGAGTCTCTAACAGGAGCTGTGCCCAGGCCCAGGTGCCTGCAGACTGGCCCTCACAGTGCCTTGGCTCCCTTCCCTGGTCAGGGCCCCAACAGAGCCGCCTGGGACTCCCACTGTATCAGCATCCAGCCTGTGACTCACAGTGACAGGCATTTCTTCTTCTGACCTCAGGGGTTTTGATGGCTGGTCCAAGCAGCTGGCACCCCAGAAGGTCTGTGGTGGGATTACAAATCATAAGAGCTTTAATCTGAAGTCTGGACAGAGACTCAGCCACACCCGTGTGCCCTGGAACCAAGAGGCAAGTGAGCTTTGTGCCCTGGCTGGAGCCCAGGCCCCATGATCCTGCCAGGTGGACAGCCCGGAGCTGGGGAGGGCAGAGAAACTCATTTCTGCCTGCTTTGCTTGCTCATCTGGTAGTTGCCGTCTCTTCAGGAGCTGAGGAGAGCAGGCCAGCCTCCCAGGGAAATAAGGCCAAAACCATCAAGATAGATGTGTGTGCTACATTTGTTTCCACGCTTTTCCCACAGGACTCTGCACTGTAGAGAGCCATTAGCTCCCACATCTCCTTCAAGTGGAAAATCATGCTTCCCATGGGGGCTCACAAAGCTGTCCTCCCCCTGAAGAGGGCTCCTACAAATGCAGATTAGTTCCAGCTGGTCCCTTTGTCTTCTGTAGCTGGGCCACACCTACATACCCCATCCTGACACTTGGGCCTGCCCCTGAGGGAAAATGGACCAAATATTTGTTCAGCTTTAACTCTCTCCCCTTATGTTTGAGTGGAATGTTCTAGAATATGTCTTATTTTGTCACACTTCTGCACCCTTCAAGATTACTCCCAGAACCTTAGATACCCTAAACCCCTCTCCTCCAGAACACTGCATACTATGGACTGAATTGCATACTCCCAAATTCATATGTTAAAGCCCTTACCCCCAATGTGACTGTATTTGTCGACAAGGCCTGTAAGGGGGGAATTAAGATTAAATAAGGTAATATAGTGGGACCCTAACTGCATGGGACTGGTGTCCTTAATAGAAAAGGAAGAGACACCAGAGATAGCCCCTCCCCGCCACCCCTACCACACACACATCTCACTGGTATGCTGGACCTGGCTTCCTCCTGAAAAGAAAAACACATGAAAGTCATAAAAAGGCTTTGAGAAGTTGAAACCCTATAAAATGTAAGATACTGTTATGATAGTGTCCTCATGACTCAGGCATGAATAATGACCACTTTAGAAAGTAATCTCTATGCGCACATCTCAGATCTCCTTAAATCACGCCCCAGTTGCTATCTTCTGACAAAGAAAAACACAGCTAGTCATTGAAGACACCTTTCTTTTCTCCTCCTCAACCGTGGCATCTTACTAACCAGCTCCCCAGGCAGTGGGTATGACAGAAGACACCGAGTAAGCATTCTTTCTTACCACAGAGAGGATTTCCAGGGAAAGGAAAGCCTGCTCTCCCGGTTTGCTTCAGTCGCTGTGTGCCAGGGCTCTCAGCCTGCAGGTTGTGCTTTGGTTTGGATTGCAGGGGGCATTCTTTGTGGATGTTCTCAGATCATGGCCATCAGGGGGACATTCCCCAGCAGCTCAGCTGTCAATCCTTCACACCAGAACCACATAGTTTGTGGTTTCTAGGGTCACAAAGCCCAAGAAATGTTCATTCCAGGAATTCCCTCTGATTTCTCTTTCTCTTAACAAACTCCCTTTCACCCAATTCTATCCACCCTATGTCATGTGAAACATTCAAGTTTTGAAATGTCCAATAACATCATGTGATCACCAAGGCTAAAAATGTCAGAGGTTTAATAAGCTTTTAGATAAATTTATTCAATCCAGTTCATCTATAACTCATGTGAGTGCCTACTGTGTGTATGGATGACATGGTGTTGTCCTTTGAAGACATAGGTTAAGTGTAAGATTCACTCCTGTCCTGAGCTGCTAATTTTATCATGGACATGAGTTTGACAAATGTGAAGCAATGAACATCTAACATAATAGCAGATATAAAGAAACATTGAAATGAATATGCTGAGGTTATAACTGTGGTATAGGCATTGGGTTTGGAGGGAGGATGAGAAGAAGAAGCATGTATAAGGTCCAGTGGAACATGCTGGCATCTGGAGAAAAGGGTAAAGGGTCTCCAGGCTGATGCAACAACATGGCAAAAGAAACAACATATCAAAAGTGTGCATAACCAGTGACACATGCACACCATCTCTGTACACAGCAGGCATGGGGCAGGGGAGGGGCTAGATAGGACGGGCACCTTCTCTCACAGGTCCTGTGTAAATGGAAGCTGGGCTGGAACTGACTCCAAAAGAAAACCCTAGACCTTGTCAGTCATTGAGCAAAGGCCAGACCAGTCAGGAAGCTAAGTCATGTGACTTGGCAAGGACAGCAAGGGTAAAACAAGGAGCCCAGGCTCAATGATGTGGTGAAAGACTGAGGTGGGAGTGGGTCATCAGTAACAGAATTAAGGAGTAAATTACCAAAAGTGGAGAACATAAAAGGGGCCACATGAACCTCCAACTTCCTGAGCCCCTGGGAAATTGAGGAACCACTCGTGATCATAGAGGACCCAGGGCTGCACTGGGCTGACCACAACCTGACCATCATTCTTCTGGAATCCTAATTCCCCTGAACTGATTATATGACTTAGGGTATCTCACGAAGTATCAAATGTAATGTCCAAGGTTTCTCTTTAAGCTGATAATGTGTTTTCCTTTAGGAGTCAGGGTTTGCCTAAGTTGGCGCCTGCACTTGGGGGCAAGATAATGCTGCACCATGAATGATGATTCTGCCATTGTGGGATGGTTAGTGCTGTGTGCTGCTTATCCCAAACAGAATGTCGCCATGCCCTCCAGCAGTCGTGAGTTACAAGAACACACCATAC